TTTTCGAAGCAAGCAACATACTTCCACTGGGATGCAGGGGAGGTTCACATGATTGCAAAGATCAACAAATGATAAACAAAATGATCCTGGAAAATTGTAGGAGACGATGTAGAAATCTTAGCGCAGCATGGATCGATTACCGTAATGTCTTTGATAGTGAGCCACACTCTTGGATACGTAAGACTTTGGAAATGTACAAAGCCTCCACCCCCGTGATAGTAAATTGCCTTAAACACAGCATAGAAATGTGGAACACCATTATTGTACCTAAATCACACAAGAGGTTCTGTCATCTTCAACCCCCTGAATATCCAACGTGGAATCTTTCAAGGAAAATCACTGTCACCGCTTTTGTTTTGTTTGTCCTTAATCCCCCTTACGCATGAACTAAACAAAAGTAGCTATGGTTACAAACTAGACAAAAAATATCCAATCACCTGGATGATCTCAAACTCTTTGCCAAAGACGACAATGAGTTGAAGGGACTCCTCAACATAGTAAAATATTTGTGATGACATAGGTATGGATTTCGGATTAGATAAATGTGCAAAAGTAACATTCAAGTAAGGGAGAATTACAGAAACAGCCTCAATGGATTTAGACATTGTCATAAAGATTACGGACCGGGTACTGAATACTAGTGGCATATCTGGTCTGATGCTCCTACTATGTATCTCGAGATAATTAACAAAATTCAAAGAAGAATCTGTAATGTAATAAATCCTAACCTGGAATCTCAATTTCAGTCACTTTCTCACCGACATAACGTGGCTTCCCTCTGTCTTTTTCTATAAATATTTTCGAACAGTTCTAATGAGCTTTTTTCCTTAGTGGCTCGACTGCGTCAATTTAAGCGTTAATATTGGCATTTAGGTCTAACTGTTTTACTGTTCAACTAACTAGATGCTGTTTTATTCGACTAGTTTCTACTTACGCACTTCTTGCTTTTGGGATTCATTTTCGATTACTTGCTTCCCGGCCATCTACAATCTTCAAATTTAAATGCAACGTTTATTGACATCTTCTGTCTTCCTCAATGCTATTCGTTAGTGCTTTCTCCCCACTTCTCATTAAAATCTTCTCATTCTCTTTCCCTCCCAATAAGTGGCATTACCGTGTTGCTTGGCATGAAACCACGGCTACGCGTACCACGACTAGGCGTCTGACGGTTACGCGTCTGACGGTTACGCGTCTGACGGCCACGACACGCTCACTAAACACAGCCGCCCGTACGAGGACCACTAACTCGCGCTGGAGAATCGTGAAGACGAAATTTGTCTTTTGGAAATATGTTTCAAAATTCTCAATCTACTCTCTTCATTGAAGTACTTACACTTGTCTGGCTGTAGAGTACATACAATGCAGTTTCTGTTTTTCTATACGTGAGGGGTGCTAAAATATTATCGCACCGAGCTATTCCCAAAATATGTCCAAATGGTTAGACGTCGGAATTTTGTGTGATTTTGCCGAGAACTTTTCATCGACCGCTCACAAATCCCTTCATTTATACACTTACTCTTGTTTTAACGAATTTTGACGAGAGATCTGTCGAAATATAAAAGAAGTGAAGATAGGAGCATTAATCAGAGTAAGATTAATTTCTCGACAGACAAAATATCTTCTGTTCTGAATCTGATAAGATGCAAGTAAAATATAATCAGCGAGTCTAGCTTTTCACGCAGGGGCTCAGATCGAAGAGAAGTCGGATAAAGCTGATGTTTGAAGATGATCCAACTTGGATTTAGATAATCCGAGGAAGTGCTTTCATACTAATCCTTGCCAAGGAATGACAGCCAAAGATTTGATTTTTTTTCATTTAGTCAATGTGGGCTGGGTCTTCAGGAAAATAAATCTTTTCGAATTGAATTGTTTTACAGATTTGATCTCTAATCGAAGACGCTGCCTGGAAACTAACAGATTAATATGCTAAAACATGCATTTATTTTGCAAAACCGATATGTATTTTTCAGTATAATCTCATCTTTTATCAATGCGCACTTAAATTCTGAACATTATAGTGCATGAAAGATCAAAATTTAGCTAGGATACTAACTAAATGATCGACTCTAGGTATACAGCCTCTGTAGTAAATACAATAGTTACGCATTTTCTACAGCGGTGTTCGATTCGAGGTAAAAAAAATTACGATGTTGATTTTCAAAGACAGTTCATAAATCTTGATAGTTTGGAGCAACATATATTTTACACTCCTGTTTTTCTGCCCATTTTATTGTATCGGAAAAAAAAAAAAGGTATATATATATATATATATATATATATATATATATATATATATATATATGTATGTATGGATGTATGTACGTATGTATGCAATAAAAAGGCTTAAACACTAAACACTATATATTTTAGACATATCTATATATATGTATGTGTATACATTTTAGATATCTGTATATATATGTAAGTGTATATTAACCACTAATATTATCTATCTATCTATCTATCTATCTATCATAAAAATATATATATAATAAAAACACGAACCCTTAAAATGTCATGAGACATAATCTCATGCCATTTTAAGGGTTCGTGTTTTTATAATAATAATTATTGCTCTGTCTCTGACATAGAGCTCTTCTTGGATCTACATCCTTTTGGAAATATCTATAATGAATACTAATATTATCATGTTATATATATATATATATATATATATATATATATATACATATAGAGGGTGTAAGAGCAAAATTGACCCAATCATATAACAGCATGGGATAGTTGTCCATCCAACAAAAAAAAAGAAGCAAACACTGGACTAATTGAGTTACTTTCTTCCGGGTATTTAGATAAGACGTTTAGACATCTTTCAACCATTAGTCATTAGAATCACTGAAAAAAAAAAACCTTTGTATTATTCATCTAGAAAGTGAACAGGTTAAAATCAATGTGTTTCTGTTTCACTATGTCTTCTCAACTGATAAATGGTGAGAGGAAAAAGATTATTCAGGCCTTCAGTGCCAAAATTGATTCCATGACTTCCATCTTCAAAGTTCATTCAAGAACCATAAGAAGAACGGTGAACAAGTTTTAAAAAAGAGGGAAGACTAGGGAGAAGAAATGGTGGATCAGGATATTAAAAAGTAAGAGGGATCATCTTTTCAACTTAAAGGTAAATACATTCTTATTGTTCAAAGTAGTGTTCAATAGTGTTATAAAAGCCTCGAAGAATTTCAGTAAGATATCTTTAATCATTCCTAAGATGCATCGGTTCAAAGCTTAATCTAACAAACAATTTTTCCTCTTACACGATCTGGACAATTTTGCTGTTACAAATATCCTCACTTACCTGTCTTGATAGTATTCAAAAGCGTCTACGCATCCTTTTGAGTGATGAACTATTTTCCACTTTACAGTAGCCCTCCTCCCACAAATGAAACATTGCGAGCCTCTCCCTGCCCTATAGCTACTTCCATGGCATCTGTTATCATAAGCTTGATTCTTGAATTCCACCAACCCTGAAATTTTCAACTGGGACCCGCCATGCCACTTACACAAATGTGAATCATCCCCATTCACTTCATATTCCATTAGTAAGGAGTAAGTTCCATTCGGGCAAGTATATATGGTAACTAAAAATTCCTTACAATCTATGGTAAAAAAATCGGGGATTAGTTTTTTATCGTTCTTTAGTATTAAACTCATCCCTCATTTCTTGACCATCGTAGATTAAATTCCAAAACACCCTTATAGGTAATCAAATAAAAGGATGATAGAAAGTGAGGGATCAGTTTTGTATTATTCTTTAATATTAAACTCATCTCCCATTTCTTGGCCACTGTATATGCTATCCATTTCTATAATCTAGACAGGATTCAAGTACCTTCCAAAAATATTCTCAGAGGCTGATTTGTTATATATACCGTATATACCCGTGTATAATACGACGTTTGAAGACCTAATTTCGAAGCTAATTTTAAGGGGTTCGCATTATACATGAGATATAAAATTAGCGTATGTTCTGCTGGCCTTGGCTATGCCGTTGACCAAACTATATATCCATTTACAGTATCACCCCAAGCAAGGCAGTACACCCACAATCAGGGGATCAAAAGGTGTGAGAAATTAGGAGCAGAAACATTAGTAATTAGTAAAGAGAAAAGAATAATCAGGAACAGAGTAGATAGCTATTGAGATTGCATTTAAATTTTTGCATATTAAAGTTGGCTGGAAAGCATGGAACCAGAAGGGAGTTCCACAAGCGAGAAGTGCGAGAAAGGAAACCGCCAGCATAGAAGTTACGGCTATATCTAGCTAGCTCAACTGTAAATTGATGAGATCTCAACGCCAGTCTAGTACTGCGCTTAAATTCGTACAATCTAGGTACCATAGCGAAAAGCTCATATGAACAATTACCATGAAAACATTTATAGAAACGACACAGGTCCAAGTATGCCTATCTACAATCTACTAGTCAATTCCTGTTGCAGACACATTTGTATTTTTCAGCACCCACAGTGACCAGGGTTAGGGTTAAGTTGTGGTTATAAAAAAGGACAGAGAGGTAACCTTATGGCGGTGGTTAAGTGATTGAAGACGATCTACCAGACCAGGACCAATAATATTGCTGATTCTTCTTTGGATCTTATCAAGGACCTCTCAGTAAATAGCAGGGACACCCGGCAATATATGGCAGCAATATACTAAGCATGGACGAATAGTAGACATAGATATGTAAGATAGATTCTGGAGAGAAAAATTGCCTTGCACAACACAGTAAATCGACTTTCTTAGCATCTGATCTAGAAATGAATTCAATATAGCCTTTCCCCTTCATGCCAGCTAAGATCGTTCCTGGAGGATAGCATCAGCCATGGTTATAAAATGCAGATAGGGTTCTTTCAGATGATTA